AAATACACAATTTACAAGCATAGATAAAATAAACAGTAGTATTCAGATACAGAAATTTAATAATTAACTGTAAAATAACACTGCATAGTGTTCACTCTATGAATTCAATTTAGATTAATCTTTGTTATAGCCGTTTTGCTGTTTTAGTGACATTAGTGACATATTCAGCAGCACGTATTTATAGGCTGCTGTCCCTTTAAATCCGACTGCACGTAATGATACAATTCAAACATAAGGAGGAGGAGATGCGAAAGACGAATCAACTCGGTGTTCGCGCGCCGTCTGAAACGCGTCTCTCTCTCTGTGTGTGTGCGCGCGCGCTTTGCATGTGTGTGGCAGAACTGAAGAGACGCTGTGCGAGATGAGGCTTGTGCGCGTGCTTCAGGTGTGAGTCTGTCAGACAGCAAGACGAGACGGCAAAGAGTTGTTTTCTGCAACTTATTGCACTTAACATAACTCTTTTTAACGTCAAGCAATTCTCTGCTATATGCCTCGAACTAAAACTTTGACCTTTTGCAACGTTTTGATTTAAGTAGCCTATTATTAAAATGATTCAAATATCGCACGCCGTTGTGATATGCATATCGCAATATTTACATTTGCGATATTTTCGATATATCGTGCAGCCCTACTAATCTCTTTAACAAAATTACTGACAAAAATGTTTAGCGAAATAGTTTTTTTTTTTTATTTTGACAATGATAGCGTAGGTGAGGCAAAAAAGATAATTGAATTATTTTAATTAAAGCATACTGTTGATGAATATATGCAAGATTAATGCATTAATGTTTTTGAAGTAGAAAAATCTAGGTTTCAAAGACAGTTTTCAAATGCTATTAAAAATACTGAGGCATGTTACACCAAATACACATAATAATGATCTTTAAAAAAGCATCATATGACCCCTTTAATATATATGTTTAAATATTTGGTTTAATTTGCACTTTTAATTTAAATGTTATTTTTGTAGACAAAAATTAGATGCAATGTTAGTCCTTAAAACTGGATAAAATTCAATGACATGAAATATTGACTGAAATAAAAATAAAAAAAAACAGGCTGGAGGCTCTTTCTGTTTATCCGAACAATGAAGACAGCAAGATTGTTTGAAAACTTTTTTTTTTTAATTACACATTTAAGATTTGTTGTGACTGTTGTGTGCCTTAAAGTTCTCATTCCTAAGGTCACATGCTTAGAGATTCAAGATCCAAATGTATAGATAAAATGACTAGGAATAAAAAGTTCCGGATTCTTTGTGCAATCAAGACATCACAAGACAGAAAAAAGAAACGTCAAGGGAAAAAAAAAATGCACGTTCTAGAACAAAACAAAACATGATTTTGTAAATGACACATTGACAAATGAAAATAAGCATCTAAACTACAAAAAAACAACTAACAAAACCAGTCTGCTAATCAGAGTCTGTTCTCTGCACCATTCAATAAACCAGCCTTGTTAAAAATGACCTTTACAATCCACTTCCATATCTCACCCTCACCCAATCAGATCGCAGCCCTGATCACAAAGAGAAAAAGCTGACTGGACCAGGACCCCTCCATTACCTGCCACTCGTCCAACCTACATAAAGAAGAGAACCAGCACAAAGGGTTTTCACATGACTTTACTCATGCCCACCTTTCATCACTGGACAGCTGATCGAGGGGAAATAACACAGAGAAAAAAAATGAAAACAATAAAAAGACAAAAGATGAAAAGAAAATAACGAACTGTCAGTGCATTCCCCTCCATTCTCAACCATATGTGCTCATCTCCCACACGCTTTTGACTCTGCTCCATTCTGTAGAGTTTCGATTGGGAATTAAGACTATAGAAATCAATAATCAGCTGACCAGTAGCTGTGGTTCTGCTATCTTATCTCCCATTCCTTTCCCCTCCACAGAGTTTCAGCATCCCCACCCAGGCCCAAGAGAGGGCAGGCGCCAAAAACAGCCCCATCTGGACCCAAGGGAGCCAGCAGATTTGGCCATGCAAAACACGATCTTTCATCAATAACATCCACTTTTCCTGGACTATTACAGTCTGTTAAAAGCTTCATAAAGTATTTGAATCTCAAATGGCAACAGAATTCTTAACAGGAAAGACTACCCAAAAATGTACATTTCTGTCATTTACTAACCCTCATGTTGTTCCAAACCCATAGGACTTAATCTTCAAAACTAAAAATAAGATATTTTTAATGAAACCTGAGAGTTTTCGGTACCTCCATTGAAAGTACAGGCAACTACAACTTAAAAGATCCTTGATCTTCTGGATTCATGTGGATTCGATTTACAACAGCTTTATGACCTTTTTGGATGTTCTAGCTCACTTTTGGTTACCTGGACTTTCAATGGAGGCACAGAAACCTCAGATTTCATTAAATATATCTTCATTAGTGTTCTGAAGATTAACCAAAGTCTTACAGGTTTTGGAACAACATGATGCCGAGTAAATGACAGAATTTTCATCTCTTTGTTGAGCCCTTTAAAGAGACTTTTTCTATATAATATAGAGAAAGTCTCTTTAAAGGACTCAACAAAGAGATGAAAATTCTAAGATTGGCCAAGGGTGGTTTAAATGCAATGAACAGATATATTCTGATCCAACAGGACAATTTGAGATGGAAATAATTCAAAACTATACACCTGAACAGGTTACATAAATACAGGCTGCTTGCGATCAAACTGAAGAAAGCTAACAAGGTAGAAGTTACTTTCAACTCACCCATCCTCCTTGGCTCTGGATCCAGGGCTGAATTTTGTTGTCTAGGTAGACGGTCATCCAATCCGCGATGCTTCCCACTAGCGGGCTCATCTCCTTCTCCACGCACTCAACACACAGAGCCCCTCCGAAGGCAAACAGTCCCACGATGCGGCCCCAGTTGACGCCGTCGCGGAACACCTCATCCATCACGCTCTCGAAGCTCTGGTACGCTGTGGCAGGCGTGATGTGGAGCTGCGACGACAGGTCGTTGAATGCTTGGGAATAACGCAGCTCAAACTCGTTGGCAGAATCGCGAAGCGCCTCCTTTACTGCATCCAGACCCCCAGTCCCGTTCGTCTGACGCTGGGGGGTTGAAGCGGGGGACCTTGGTGGGGTCCCAGTGGAACCAGTACTTGTTCCGTTTAGGGAGCCATTAACGAGGGTCGTTGTTCCTGCTGCCGCCTCATCATCATTCCCTTCCGCCGCATCAGTCCGATTTGTGTCTTCTGTAAATTCAATGTGATTGTAGGGGTAGTTCCTCTGTGAGAGTTTATATTTAATAAAAAATACCACCAGTTCTTGGTGATAGTAAGACATAATTCACGTTGTTGCTCGTCGTCCTCCGATGTCTGAATATCCACTCGCTCGTTCTTAGAACACAGTGCACACCCTTGCGTCCTTCTCAGGCTTCTGCCGACGCTCAGGGATGGTGCAATGGCTCATACCCTGTGGTAAGACAACAGTGCAATGTCCAGACCCCCAGTCCCGTTCGTCTGACGCTGGGGGGTTGAAGCGGGGGACCTTGGTGGGGTCCCAGTGGAACCAGTACTTGTTCCGTTCAGGGAGCCATTAACGAGGGTCGTCGTTCCTGCTGCCTCCTCATCATCATTCCCTTCCGCCGCATCAGTCCGATTTGTGTCTTCTGTAAATTCAATGTGATTGTAGGGGTAGTTCCTCTGTGAGAGTTTATATTTAATAAAAAATACCACCAGTTCTCGGTTATAGTAAGACATGATTCACGTCGTTGCTCGTCGTTCTCCGATGTCTGAATATTCACTCGCTCGTTCTTAGAACACAGTGCACACCCTTGCGTCCTTCTCAGGCTTCTGCCGACGCTCAGGGATGGTGCAATGGCTCATACCCTGTGGTAAGACAACAGTGCAATGAATTGATCCGTAAATACGCAATAATTTTCACAAACAGGGAGAGGAGGGGGTCAGGGTGAAACTTTGGAAGAGGTTAAGGGGCACTGAAGATAAACAGGTTTTTTTCACCCTCTAAAGCCCTCTTACTTAATGTAGAGGCTTGATCAAAGGAACAGATGGTAGCCTCTCATCACCTGCCTCCTATGAAAAACATGGACAATGTCCTCTCTCCCCCTGTCCAAGACATGGCTAAATGTACACTGACCTTGACATGAGTGAATTTTAAGCAGCAGGGGGCAAGAACAGCCAGCGTGGCTAGAATTATGATTCCCTCATTTCAACAAATCTATAACGGACCTCAATTGTGGTGCCAGAAGATCCAGTCAAGAGTCACAGACAAAAGATACCCAAGTGTTTTAAAATGTTTTGACAACTCAAGTATAATCTTAATGAATCTTAATGTATTTGTATAATCTTTGCTAAACAGAATAGACTAAAATTAATACATTAATTTATAATTACATATATGCGTTATTACAGATCAAATCTATACAATGTTTTGGAATTAAAACGTCTGATCAAGAGAATCAATCATTCTGCGACTATATATCTGGATACGATAGATAGATAGATAGATAGATAGATAGAGAGATCGATCTAGTAAAGAGGATTAAGTGACTTTTTTGCTGATTTCTTCTTTTTGAAGACATCACGAGCGCGGGGTGTTCACGCGGTGCATTATCTGATCGCTCCTGGGAAAAGCGCGAGAGATCTCAGGAAACACTGGATCAGCCAAACACGTGCTGACTATCGAGGCTCACAGCACAACACATGGCCATTTCAGAGGCTGCTCATTTTGTCGCGGAAAAATTACCAAAAAATATATGTATTTTGTTACTTAAGAAATTCGGACACTCATTCTCTGTCCGAATATGACGCATATTGTCATTGCTTTATTCCACATGTAATATACATAACATTTACATATATAGTACATGATGTGGTCGCACTTACTGATTCGCTGGATTGATCAGCAGACACTTCCAATGAGTGAATTATTTAAGATTCTAATAAGGAGAGACGCGGTGTGTTTACAAACACAATGTCAACACACATTCCTACAACCGCGAACGAGCGTGTGTGAATACCTCCCAGACAAAGCTATTCAGTGTTTTATGTCAGTGTTCTCAAGAAACAACATTTTTCTTAAAGGAAAGTCTACATACAGTAGTGGCTAAAATATAGATTTGCATTTAGACCAAAGCTTTTACCGAGCAACTTGTTAGAAATGACCTAAAACAAAGTCTAACGTCAACATTTTTCTACTTTGTCTCACGTTATCGTGCTTATTGACAACGTTTAAGATAATGACAACACGGAGAGTTAAAGAGCGCTCAGCTTACCAAAACACAGTCTGCTCACTCCTCGTAGATTAAGTCAACCAAGAAACAGCTCCAGAAAGTTTATGTGAATGACAGTTATAGATTAAGCAACAATATCAAATAGAAACTGCGGCAGATCAAAAGTAATAATACTGCGTGTGTGAGGAAAAAAAACGAGCCAGTGCTAGATATTTCTCTTTAAAGCAGACCTCCCCTCTCTGTGATAGGATATGATCAACTAAATGACGGTCACGCTGCCTAACCCAACCATTACGTAATAAAGGCTCCGTTCTAGGGCCCATAGCAGAGGCCGAGCGGAAACAACCGGTCAGTTCTGTTGGGCAAGACGTATCACTTTCAGAGAAGCAATAGCACAGAATCACTTCAGTCCGAGAAAACGAACATAAAAGGACCAAATTCATAATCATTAGCCATATATTTCCGCTGATCACAAGCAGAGGGCGAGAGCTCTCCAAATGTCGCCCTGTCTATGCTGAGGAGAAACCGGGAGAAACACTGGATGTAGATTATTATAGCATTTCTTAATCTTTTATAGGTCAGTATACAACTAGCATTTACGCATGTAACGTTAAGTAAAATCTAACACCCCGGTATGTTTTATTTACGAATGAATGCAATACATTTAATGCATTTCTGCACGCATTTAAGTCATGATGAGAAACACCGTATGCAAGCAAGAGAGCAAATTAATAACAAGCCCTATATAATTGATGGTTCTTGCTAGTCAAGAATGCATTTCCTGTAAAATCCAAGCCAACTACGTCAATCTTTCCCCCTTCGGCTAGTTAGCCGTGTAGCTAGCGTCATGGAAGATGGACTGGCTGTACAGGGAAACGCGAAATCATTTGGAGGCGGGTGTAAAGATAAAGCTCCCATTTCAAAAACGCATCGCAGACCTTTGGTACTTACTCGGATATTTGGAAAGGCAAATTCCTGATCTCCCGCATGATCGATGTCGGCGTGTTTCTCCTCGACCAGAGCGCAGTCGGTGTAGAGCCGCTGTCAGCAGCGCTTCGGTGCTCTGAGCAGTGAGCATTCAGCGGCGCTGGCTCAGTTCCGCCCCTTCAGAGCTGCTCTTAAACTAAGGGCCTATTCATATATTACAGCACATACAGTACATCAGATGTGGACTGAGTATGCTGGCTTACGGAGTAACTACTTTACTCACTCCGAAGTCGTTAATTAAAGCTTAATGTCATTTAAAAAGCAACATTCCGTTATGTTTTAAAACGCTGAGACGCGCCATTCAGTGTAACTGCTACTAATACTGACGACTTAATCTTAACGAACTCGCAACTTTTACACATTATGTGGTCTTAAATTACTGATATAAATTCTGCTCAGTAGTTTTCTTCATCTAACTACAAATATTTGGATATGTATACTTAACGGGCGGTAAGAATGGGCATTTTAAATAACCGTGAACGGTTTGAGCTCACTAAACAAAGAGTGGCAGAATTACTATGGTAACCTTTGTTACCCCAAAACGCGCGTGATGCGTCTACTGTGACAGCGACACCCTGTGGCGCATTTAAACGAGTACAAATCTTCGCTTTATTAATTCGAATGAAATCATTCATTTCATATGCTGGTGTTGTCGTGATATAAAGCATTTGTTTTCTATCTTTAAAGATTCAAGGAGCCTCCATCCAAGACTCTGTCAAACAAGAGACCCCTATTATAAAAGAACAAACATTACTACATTATTTATGCATTTTAGATCGTTAGACAAAGTTAGAAATTCGTTAAGGGAAATGTCATAAAAATATAAGGAAACTCAGTTCCCCTCATTGAAAACCTGGAAGAAACAACATGTACAGGTAGGAGAAAATTCAATGGTTCAGACTTCAAACTTTATTGATTACTTCACCAAATGCTTGTAAGATTACATCACAATATGTATAGAGTCGAACATTATTCTGTATATTTTACATGAAAACTTTACACATCGTATTTCTTCATATACTATATATATTTATATTTCCCAGTCTCAATGGGAGGCAAAGTAGACATCCATAGTTGCAAGAGAAGGAATGCTTTTCAGAAAATATTTAAATGCACTTCAAGAATGAAATACATAATGAAAATGAATTGGGAGTTGCATCTGCACTGGTAATACACTAGTAAGTCATATGCTGCAGGGGTTTAATGAAGACATACCTGGATTATAAGGTATATTTGTATTCCTGTATTTCCCCCACTTCAATTGTTTTATGATAATGTGACTGGCATCCATCGCATAAACTTGCTGATTCAGTCTAACTCCAAATCAAGAGCGAACAACACTTGCAAAAATGAAATATTAAAAAAAAAACAATCTATTAAGCAAACTTTAGTGCACTAAAATTAAATATTCATTAGATGTCTTAAGATTTCAATGATAAATCTCTCTCTCTCTCTCTCTCTCTATATATATATATAAAGAATGAAAAAAAAAAAAAAACTTAAAAAATGCAATAAATTTGAATATGATGGAAACCAAATGAGCATGATGTGTGTCATGTAAGGAATGGTAGTGTCGGCCTGGTCTGGATTAGCAAGTGTAAGTATTGACATGTAAAATAAACACCAAATGCTTTGAAGGCAACTGTTACATTCTTAGGACAATTTGGAGTTTAGTGTGAACACATCGAAACCAAATTAAAGTCTTTTACCCCAAACTAAAAGCATTTAAATGCAAAAACCTGCTTGAATGAATTTAAATCAGAGATGATTGTTTAATTGTATGATGAATCAATAAAGGACAATGAAAATGGGCCATTGTTGGACCTTAAATCCTTAACAAATATACCATTATTCACTGGCGCAAACTCATTGCACATCAGGTGTCTTTTACAAGCTCTTAATAACGGGATGATCTCATTTCTGTATGTCTTTCTTCAGCCTTTAAAACAGACAAAATTTTACAGATAGGACAAAAGGCAAAACAATGAAAATCAACAGACGATCAAAAACCAGATATATAGCAGTACTGGTAATAAATTATTTTCACAGCCATCCAGAAGAAAGTCAAAATAAAAATAAACAAATATGACTCATGACTCTAACAACACAGACGAATGACACAGCAGAAGCGTCACCCTGCTGGGTCACAGTGCTGTTCTCTCATAGGGGAGAGACTGACGGCGTGAGTCAGGAACGGCAGGGGAAAGTATGGGACAGTCACACACAGTCATTCTGCGTTCCTGTACAGTCCTTCAAATCACAGCAGAGGCTTATACACGCAAACCATCCATCCACTTTACAGCCTCGCTTTCTTCCCAGTTCATCTCTGAGCTGTGTTCCCAGTTCTGATCCGCGTTATGATGATGATGATGAAGGCTGCGCTCTGCCCAATTCAGGAGCGGCGATGTGGAAGACGGAACCGATGCGAAGGAAAAATCGCCGCAAAGCAGCGCGAAGCTCCGGAATGAGGTCGAACTGCATCATCTCACACAGATGGTGGTAGTAGCAGGAGGCATGAGGCTTGAACTGAAAGAGAGATGACAATGTTAGGCATTCATGGGCTGACATCATTTTATTTTATATTGTTTTATTTGAAATTTAATTACATTTAATTTAAGTCTTAAAGGGATAGTTCTCCCAAAAATGAAAATTACCCCATGATTTACTCACCCTCAAGCCACCCTTATATGACTTTTTTCTTTCAGACAAATACAATCAGAGTTACATAAAAAAAATGTTGTGGCTCTTCCAAGATTTATAATGGCAGTGAATGGTGGTTGAGATTTTGAAGCCCAAAAAAGTGCGTCCATCCATCATAAAATACTCCACACGCTCCGGGGGGTTAATCAAGGCCTTCTGAAATGAATTGATGCGTTTGTGTAAGAAAAATATCCATAATTAAACCTCGCGTAGCCAGACCTTCAGACTGACGGCAGAAGGTCTGGGAACCTTGGCCGCTTTGAATGGCCAAGACCCGCCCAAGAGGCCATATGACTGACGGCTAAAGCAACCAGTAACGTTTTCTTTTGTGCCACGTCATGTTTATGGGCGTGGAAATGTCCCCACAGTAACAGACCAGTGTGTAAAACTCTTGGACATATTTGAAACATTCTATGCCGTGAACTTTAGATATTTCACATACTTTTGAAAATCCAGCTTGTAGTTGATCCTAAAAAGTGCTCATCATCACAGCTGGAAACACGACGGCTTTCTTCTTCCATGAGGGGGTTTGGTGCCACGGCATCTTTATTTCAAGGCAGAAAGTTAAAGAATGTTTGTTTTGCTCTCTCCTCTGCACTTCCGCTACATCCTACCTACGTCATCCGCTGGAACACCACTCTCTCGTGAACACGAGTATGACAGTTAGAGGAAGCTAGAGATTACGGTTTATGAAGTTTTAAATATGGATATAAAAACACATCGATTTGCATCAGGAGGCCATTATTAACCCCCAGGAGCTGTGTGAAGCACTTTTTATGATGGATGAATGCACTTTTTTGGGCTTTAAAATTTTGACCACCATTCACTGCCATTATTAAGCTTGGAAGAGCCAGCACATTTTTAATATAACTCCGACTGTGTTCGTCTAAAAGACAAAAGTCATAAAGTACATCTAGGATGGATTAAGGGTGAGTAAATCATGGGGTAATTTTCATTTTTGGGTGAACTATCCCTTTGTCTTTTCAGTTAGGGGTTTCCCTTAAAGACCTTTTAGCAGAGTGTCAATCTGGAGTGGAATGCCGCTGGGAAAACCTGATATTATCAGAGGAGTGATGAATGGAAAAGTGTATTTTAGTTATGGACAAGGAAAATCCCCAGGGCTGCCAGTAGATTGTCTGCGTAATAGCGCAGGTCTCTTTTACATATAAAGGTCATCACACTGACAAGCTGGTGTTTCAGCAGGGTGCTTCCTGTAATAAAAGCCTTAACTCAGACCCCTGAATGTTAAGAGAGATATCCAAAACAAGTCTCTCCTACAGGAAATAACACCCATTGGCTAATTATCAGACTCACCTGTCTGGTTAATAAGGACACTATTTTTGCCTTCCGTTTTTCTTGCTCTTAACGTGGAACATGTCAATATTTTACAATATAAAACCAAGATCTAGTGGCTGAACCCAGCCGGATGTCTACTTAATGTCTGAATCAACATGAAAGGTTGACCACTGTCTTTAACCATCTGATCAAGGACCTCAAGTTGAATTGTAAAAAAGACACAACCTGTGTTGTTGTGACTCTTACGTTTAGAAAAATGTAACATCATTCATAAACTCCACATGGTGCCAAATATATTGAATATTCCAAATTTAAAAAGAAAAAATATATATATTTTAATCAAACAAAAAACCAAAACAAAAAAACTGTTTCATGGCTGGTAATAAATATTTATTGGCTGTTGAGACAAAAAGTTCATTTTGGGCCCTGCATCTAATGTTCTGGTTCAGTGAGAGGGTGTGTTTGTTTATGTACGTTATTACTTTGTCATCAGGCAGTCTGAGTGTCCGGGTGAGGAGCAGCAGCAGGAGACTTGTCCAGGCTTCCCGGTGGCTCTCTGAGGTAAGACTGATGAAGTAAGCCAGGGCTTCACTACACACCCTAAATCAAACACACACACACATATATTGTTACTCTCCCAATACCTTCCCGTACAGCATATGTAAATCAGACCTTGATTATGAGACTCATCCCTAAATGTTTTACATAAAACAGTTCCTACTGCTTTTTTTTTTTTTTGAGTCATACAATTGATCTGATTATTACACATCCAGCAATGAGTGCAGCACCTATATTTTTAGTGCTTTCAAATCATGTTCATAATGTCAATAATAATACAAAATAATAATGAATCAACTCAAGTGCAATTTCTTCCAACAATAGGTGCATCTGAACACGTAGCACAGATTGTATTGTATAAAAGCAGCTGTCTTTGTGTTGAGCTTGGTGAGCGAGCGTGATTAATGAATGAGGCAGACGACTGCACTCACTGCAGCAGGCGTGTCTGGATGTCTGGCCAGGAGTCTCGCAGCTGCGTGTCAGAGTACATGCGAAAGAGGATCCTCAGACTGCAGGCCAGGCTGCTGGTCTCCTGCTTCAGAAGATTCGGTTTTGACTTCCCCTTAAAGCCTACATGCAAGATTAATAAAAGACACGCACAATAAGAAAAGACAGTCTCCTATAAATGACAGCATTACCACAACCCAGACGAGGAAAT